GGCAGACCCCCCCCCGGGCCCCCTGGCCTGCACAGTGCCCGGCCACCCTCACCTGGGGTGCCCGACTGGGCGGCAGCTATGGCAGCCCGCAAGGTGGGCACAATATCCCGCACCCTCCGGACAGATGCACAGAACTTGCAGAGTGGCCGAAACAGGGACATCTGGTCGATGGCCTGGAGGGCACCCCGTTTCTGGTGGAGAAGGGGGAGTCCCCCACAGTTACCACCTGAGCCCCAGGAGCCCCCTCCCAAGCCCCAGGGGACCACGCACCTGCAGCAGCGTGCTGGCTGCCCCTCCCAGGAGCAGGACCGGAGACTGAGCCACCTGCGCGTTCTTCACCGCCGTCACCGTGTTGGTGAGGCCCGGGCCCGCGGTCACCGCGGCCACGCCCACCGTCCCTGGACCACAGACTCGGGTCACCGTCCGCTCCTGTCCCGCCGACCGCCCTCCCCCCCTTCCCTCCCGGCCCCCCGGGGTCCCCACGCCACAGCAACGCCCTCACCTGTCAGGCGGGCCACTGCGTCCGCGGCAAAGACGGCGGTCACCTCGTGCCGTGTGTCCACCACACGGATGCCCAGCTTCTCGCTGGCCACCAGCAGCGGGGAGATGTGGCCTCCAACCAGCGTGAAGACAAAGCGCACGCCGTGGGCCCGGAGCACGGCCGCCACACTCTCTCCACCATGCCGGATGCTCGCCTTGTCCACCTGCACGAGGGGGTGGGGGTGGGGCCCGTGGTCAGGGGGCCTGGTTCAAGGGGTAGAGCGCCTGCCTAGTAAGCAGAAGGCAGTGTGGAAAGCCCAGCTCCACCAAACACAGAACTGACAGGTATGAGCCACCACCTCATACCTCTAATCCCATCTACAAAGGAGGCTGAAATCCAGGATCAACTGTTGGAAGCCAGCCTGGGCAGGAAGGCCTTTTCTCCAGTGGACCGGCAAAAAGCCAAAAGTGGAACTGTGGCTCAAGTGGTAGAACACCAGCTTTAAGTACAAGGCCCTGCGTTCATGCTCCAATATGAGAACCAAAAGTAAATAAATAAACATGAAGCCTATCTGACATGCAGGCTCACACCTGTGATTCCAGCTACTCAAGAGGCTGAGATTAAGAGGATCACTGTTCAAAGCCAGCTCAGGCAAAAGTAAGTGCACAAAGCCTGTTCTCAGTTGACAGCGGAGCACCACAGCACACGTGTTACTCTAAATTACAGAGGAGGCTAAAATTGGGAGGAACATGGCTTGCAGCTAGCCAGAGCAAAGTCAGGCCTTATCTCAAAATATAACCAAAGCAAAAAGCATTAGAGGAATATGAGCACCCCACAGGTCCCAGGTTCAAACCCATTCGGCCAAAAGAGTAGGGGAGAGAGAAAGAAAAATCAAAGCCAGGCATGGCAGCTCACACACCTGTAATCCCAGAGATGAGTTCACATTTCAAGGCTAGCCTAGACTAAACCTGAGCAAGACCACACCTCACACCAATAAGCTGGGCTTGGTGAGGAGCACCTGCAATCCCGGTTACATGGCTGGGGAGACAGGAGGATCGCGGTGTGGCTCTGGCCCTGGACACAATCATGAGACCCTACCTAAACAATAACTACCTGAAAAATGATGATAGCCAAAAAGGGGTGGTGGGAGGTTCAAGTTCCAGCTCAAGACCCTGAGTTCAATCCCCGGTACCACCCCTCCAAGAGAAGGGGGGGCCTGAGGAATGTGGGTGTTGGCTAGAGACATACCCCCACAATATTCCAGGTTCCAGATCAGAGCACGAGATGGTATCAATCCTTGGGCATTTTATTCCCTCCCGTGGCTAAGACTTGACTTGCCTGAGCAAGATGGACAGTCCGATAGAACCCACATTCTCAAGGGCCTCATACCTGCCTGCTCCCCAGAGATGTTGCGGAGACCAAGAAGAGGAAAGAGAAAGTGAATCCTCACAGGCCCGGGAGGTTGGGCCAGAGCTCAGAGGGCAATGTTGCTAACTCCTGTCCATTGTCTCCTGTCCCCGCAGGGCCTGACTACCCGACTGCTCACTCAAGCCTTACTTACCTGCCTGTCTCTGGCTCTGCTGGGCATGCCCTGCTGTCAGGCTGCCAGCCGCATGCCTGGCAGGGAGGCATCAGCTTGGCAGAGACAGCCATGAGCATCCAGCCCCCACATCGTTGTCACCCTCAGCAAGAACGAATGCCTGAGCTCAGTGTAAATTTCTCTGCTTTTCGTGGATTGTGGGGCTTGAACTCTGGGCCTGGGCGCTGGTCCCTGAGCTCCTTCCCCCAAGGCTGGCGCTGTACCACTTGGCGCCAGAGTGCCACTTCTGGTTTATTGGAGATAAGAGTCTCATGGGACTTTTCTGCCCGGGGCTGGGCTTCAGGATCTCAGCCTCCTGGGGAGCGAGGATGACAGGCATGAGCCGCCCCGGCTTGATTTTCACTCATTGACTTTTAAACTCGGATCAAAAGCTCTTTCCCAAGCTGATCACCTGGGGGTCAGACCCATCTGTGACCTTTCCCGGGCTTGGTCTCCCCCTTGTGGAAATAAGAACGGGGAAATAACCGGTACCTAACGTGACCTGGCACGGGGGTTGGGTGAGACGATCCGCCCCGATCCTGAGTTGATGGACCGCAGGGCCCTTGGCGGCGGGAGGGGGGGAGCTGGGGGAGGGGGGAGGAGGGTGACCCCAAACTCTGTGACCCCGGCCGGGGGCGGGGGGCGAGGGCAGCGCCCGCGGCTTCCGGGATCGCTGAGCGGGGTTGAAGTCCAGCGGCGTGGGGACGCCCTCGGGCCGGGCCGGGCTGGCAGCCCGCCCCGGGCTCTCTCCGAGGCGCGGTGTGCGGTGTGCGGTGTTTTGGAGTTTTGTGGGTCTTGGCTCCTCCCTCCCCGCAGCCCGCCTCCCCCCCCTCTCCCGGCCCTGGCACCTTGTGCATCAGCCGGTAGAGGAGCCCCAGGCGGTGAGCGGCGCCCAGCAGGGCGGCCACCAGCGTCCCGAACGACAGGAGCAGGAACACCGGGGAGGGGTCCGCGGCGGGGGCCGCGGCCGCGGGGTTCTCCATGAGGCTGGACCTGAGGGAAGGAGCGCGCCGTGCGCCCCGGCCCGCACCCGAGAGCAATTATCTCACCCGGAAGAGGGCACGGCCCCTCGGCCCCGCCACGCCCCCGCCACGCCCCTCCGCGGATAAGCCACGCCCCCACTGTGACGAGCCACGCCCTCCCGTCCGGCTTCCAGGCTCTGCCGAGAGCCCCGCCGGCCCCGCCCCCTGACGTCACCCGAGGGCGCACGCAAACACCGAGGCCTCCACACAGGGAGCCTCCCCCCCCCCGCGTGTCGTCATCAGGAGGTGCGAGGCCCAGCCCCTCCCCGGGCCGGCTGCCCTGGGGTGAACTCGCTCCCCGAACCTGACTCTGAACCCCAGAGCATCAAGATGCTTTCGCAAGCTCGGGCCCCCACGGCCCTCCAGCCATCACCTACGGGAAACGGCCCCGAACGCCGCGGACGTCTGCGCGCCCTTGGCGTCACGTGACCCGGCACGCGCCTCTAGTTGGCGCAAACGCGCCCCCGTAGTCGTTCTACGCTTGCGCAGGGCGGGAGCCACAGCCCGGCTCGCCCGCCTCTTTTGACTGGCTGCTTGTTATGCAAGCCCCGCCTTTCTCCTCACTTCTCATTGGTTGCGGCTGCAAGCCTCGCCCTTTTCCTCTTTTGGCCGGAAGGCGTGGCCTCGCGGCTTCTTCCAGTAGTCAGGACTCCCTGCCTAGGCCGGCTTCCTCAGCCCTTCCCCTGCCAGCCTTGCAGGGCCGCGGGATCTGAGCCCGCCCTGTGTCCTGCACTGTGCACACCGGCCACAGCCCGCCGCCCGCCTCCGCCTGAGTCCACCGTGAGCACGCTAGGTGAGTTCCCGCCACCCGGGAACGCAGCCCCCAGGCGAGCCCGCCCGTGGGCGTGGCTTGTCCCGGCGAGCCCGCCCGTGGGCGTGGCTTGTCCCGGCGAGCCCGCCCGTGGGCGTGGCTTGTCCGGGCCCCGCCCCTGGGTGGCTCCGCCCTCCGCCCCGGGAGCCGCTCCCCTCCGTCGGCCCCGCTGCCCCGCACACCTGCCACCCAGGCCGCCCGGAGCCTGAGGCCCGGGGCATGGCGGTCCGAAGCCAGCCCAGGCAGGAGAGCCCCCAACACACTGTGTCCTCAGTGACCCAGCAAAAAGCCAGAAGCGGAGCTGTGGCTCCATTCGTCGGGCGTCAGCCGTGGGTGGAAAGGCCCAACGACAGCACGAGTTCGAGCCCCAGGACCAACACCACAACAACGACAAAAATACTTAGTCCTAGCCGGGGCGCCTGTCATCGCAGCTACTCAGGAGGCTGAGAGCTGAGGATCGCGGTTCAAAGCCAGCCTGGGCGGGAAAATGCTTGGGACGCTTATCTCCAATGAACCATTCAAAAGAAGAAGAACGGAAGTAGGGGCTGGGAAGGTGGCTCAGCGGGAGAGCGCCTGCCTCCCGCCCCGGGTTCGATTCCTCAGCCCCACATGAGCAGAGAAAACCGGAAGTGGTGCTGTGGCTCAAGTGGTAGAGCGCTAGCCTTGAGCTGAAGAGCTGAGGGACAGCGCCGAGACCCAGGCCCCATGACCGACAAAGAAACCAAATAAAGGAAATAAACAAAGGGAATAAAAGAATTCCTTTGATGATCTGTCAAACATGTCCAACAAGCCACTTACTCAGTGTGTTTACAAGACTCAGTCTGCGCCCCAGAGCTTTTACAAAGAGCAGTTCATAAAGGCCCATGAATGGAGAGGAAATTGCCCAACTCCCCCCACCCACGAAAATAGCAGCAGATTCCCCCTGAGTGTGGCACAAGATGTGGATGTGAAGCCTGTGGCCCCCGCCAAGCGTCGGCGACTGGGCTGTTCCCAGCCAACTTTCTTTGATCCAATTCAAGGGCTGATGACCTTTGCCCTTCATCTCTGGAGTCTCCCAGCTTCAGATTTACATGAAAAAGTCATTTCAGAACTCACTTCTGTGCCTCTCCAGCCAGGTCACAAGCTGATGGCACAACACACAGTCCACCCTCAAAGGGATTTTTCTTTTTCTTTTCTGGGGGCATGAGGGTGAAGATCAACCCCAGGACCTTGGGCGTATTAGAAAAGTGTTAATGTCTGAAAGATGCAGACTTTTTGTTTGACTGAGGTTGAAATTCAAGGCCACCCCAGTGCCTGGCTTTAGCTAACATTTCAGATGAAGAATAAATCTATAAATACATGTAGAACATTTTTAGTCATACAGGAAATGCAATTCAAAACACAGAGATTCCATCAGAAGGGCTGTTAACAAGAAACACACACAGAGAGAGAAAGAAAAAAACAAACGTTGAGGAAGATGGAAATAAGAAACCTTACATTATACCCTTCGGGTTGCAGGCACTGTGGACATAACAAGCCAATTCTCAAAGGCCAAGCGAGCGCAGTGGCTCATGCCTGTAATCCCAGCTACCAACAGGGCTGAGATCTGAGAATGGCCACAGTTCAAGCCCAGCTTGAGGCAGAAAAGTCTGTGAGATTCTTTTTTTTTTTTTTTGGTCAGTTGTGGGGCCTGGGCCTGGGCGCTGTCCCTCAGCTCTTCAGCTCAAGGCAAGCACTCTACCACTGAGCCACCTTCCCAGCCCCTGTGAGACTCTTATTTCCAAAGAATCTCCAAAAAGCAGGAAGTGGATCTATGGTTCAAAATGGTAGAGCATCAGCCCTGAGTGAAAAAGCTCAGGGATAGCACACAGGCCCTGAGTTCAAGGCCCAGGACTGGCACCCCAGGAAAAAAAAGAAAACACATGCAGATTTATTTTTTTTTTTTTGAGTCTGGTCGTGGGGCCTGAACTCTGGGCCTGGGTGCTGTCCCTCAGTTCAAGGCTAGCGCTCTACCACTTGAGCCACAGCACCACTTCCGGCTTTTTT